GCCAGTTTTCACTAAGTCTGAAAACTGATTATGTTTTTGCTATGTTCATGTGCTTGTTAGTATATTTTCTGATCTCTTTTGGATCAAGGTCACTAAGAGACTTTTGTTAAGCTAATTGAGTAGCTCCATGCCATGTTCTTCTTTGCCATGTTCAGGTCCTGTAGCATGTTGTTTTGTTGCTCCGAAGAGAGCTACTTGGTCTGAAATTTTCAGACAAGTGTTAATTTCACTAAGTCTGAGATCTGTTTGCCATTTGCATTTTTGCCATGCTTGTTTTAACCTGTTAATGGATGAATTGGCCGTAGCTCAGTGCTAGACTTTTGTTAAGCATCTTGAATGCTTCCCTGCCATGTATTTTGATGCCATGTTTGAGTGTTGTAGCATGTTCATCTTATTGCATTTAGATGGTCACTTGCTGTAAATCGTAGACCAGTGCCATTTTTGAATCGCTTGCCATTCCCAAACCGTAACTCCGATTCCGGCGTTCTTTATATCGTTTTCAAGTGATTTCATCTCATCTTTCCAGTGGCACACTTGGATTTCCAAGTTGAGGCCAGGTTCATGCATTTCCTGTCATATCTTGCATATGCATCCCGCATCGCATCCCGCATAGCATATCATCTTTGCATCGTGTTGTTTGAGTTTGCACGTGGTTGATTGTTTTCCTTGTTGCTTGTTTGTCTTGTTTGGGTAGAGCCGGGAGACGAGTTCGCTAACGAGGAGCCCGTTGAGTTTGCTTTCGAGGATTCAGTCAACTCTGACAGCTTTGCAGGCAAGATGATCATACCCTCGAAATCACTACTATCTTTGCTATGCTAGTTTGCTCGCTCTTTTGCTATGCCAATGCTACGATGCCTACTTTTTGCTTGTCAGCCTCCCAAATTGCCATGTCAAACCTCTAACCCACCTTGTCCTAGCAAACCGTTGATTGGCTATGTCACCGCTTTGCTCAGCCCCTTCTTATAGCGTTGCTAGTTGCAGGTGAAGATTGGAGGCCGTTCCTTGTTGGAACATTTACTACTTGTTGGGATATCATTATATTGCCATGTCATCTTAATGCATCTATATACTTGGTGAAGGGTGGAAGGCTCGGCCTCTCGCCTAGTGTTTTGTTCCACTCTTGCCGCCCTAGTTTCCGTCATATCGGTGTTATGTTTCCGGATTTTTGCGTTCCTTACGCGGTTGGGTTATAATGGGAACCCCTTGATAGTTTGCCTTGATTAAAGCTTTTCCAGCAATGCCCAACCTTGGTCTTACCATTTGCCACCTAGCCTCTTTTTCCCTTGGGTTTCCGGAGCCCAAGGGTCATCTTACTTAACCCTCCCCCCCCCCCTGGGCCAGTGCTCCTCTGAGTGTTGGTCCAAACTAGAGCCCTGTGCAGCGCCCCCTCGGGGAAACTCAGGGTTTGGTTTTAGTTGTACGGATTGCTCATCTGAGTGTGCCCTGAGAACGAGATATGTGCAGCTCCTATCGGGATTTGTCGGCACATTCGGGCGGTGTTGCTGGTCTTGTTTTAACCTGTCGAAATGTCTTGTTGTACCGGGATACCGAGTCTGATCGGAAGGTCTCGGGTGGAGGTCTATTCCTTCGTTGACCGTGAGAGCTTGTCATGGGCTAAGTTGGGACTCCCCTGCAGGGATTGAACTTTCGAAAGCCGTGCACGCGGTTATGGGCAGATGGGAATTTGTTAATGTCCGGTTGTAGACAACTTGAACCTTGGCTTAATTAAAATGAGTCAACTGTGTGTGTTACCGTGATGGCCTCTTCTCGGCGGAGTCCGGGAAGTGGACACGGTGTTGGAGTAATGTTTGCGCAAGTTGTCCTCTAGTTTCTCGCTCGTGCTTTGCCTCCTCTTCTCGCTCTCTTTTGCGAATAAGTTAGCCACCATATATGCTAGTCGCTTGCTGCAGCTCCACATATATTTACCTTACCCTACCTATTAAGCTTAAATAGTCTTGATCGCGAGGGTGCGAGATTGCTGAGTCCCTGTGGCTCACAGATTACTATTACACCAGATGCAGGTCCAGGTGATTCCGCTCCAGGTGACGCGTTCGAGCTCAAGTGGGAGTTCGACGAGGACTCTCAACGTTACTATGTTTCCTTTCCTGATGATCAGTAGTGGTGCCCTGTTGGGGGTGATCGGGACCATGTCGCATGTTGGGTTATCTTTCATTTTGGTGCCGTAGTCGGGCCATGAGTGTTTGGATGATGTATGTTATTTATGTACTTGATTGACGTGGCGAGTGTAAGCCAACTATGTTATCCCTTTACATTATCTTTATTACATGGGATGTTTGTGATGATTACCTGACTTGCGACATTTCCCTTCAATGCGATTATGCCTCTAAGTCGTGCCTCGACGCGTGGGAGATATAGTCGCATCGAGGGTGCTACACGTATTGATGAGAATCCCATGATAAGGGGACACGATCTCTGCTTTGACAAGACATGCCAGTGAAACCGCACCTCAAAATACGGAGCGGCAGGCTAAAGAACGGTTCAAATAATGGCCGGGTAGTGGCGTGATGTCACGCTACAGAAAGTTGTCAGCGGATTGGACTCGTGGAATATTATACTCTCTACGGTTGTGTGTGGTACCTGTTTTGCAGAGCCGGACATGTTTTCTTTGTTCGGAAGACTATGTTGGAGTGTTCGAAGAAGGAACCCACCTTGCAATGCCGAAGACAATCTGTGTGTCGGACTCATCGTCATTGAAGCCTGGTTCAGGGGCTACTGAGGAAGTCCTGGACTAAGGGGTCCTCGGACAGCCGGACTATATACTTGGGTCGGACTGTTGGGCTATGAAGATACAAGATAGAAGACTTTGTCTCGTGTCCGAATGGGACTCTCCTTGGCGTGGCAGGCAAGCTTGGCGATTCGGATATGTAGATTCCTTTCTCTGTGACCGACTTTGTACAACCCTAGTCCCCCCCCCCCTCCCCGGGTGTCTATATAAACTGGAGGGTTTACACTTCTAGGGTTAACGCTCAACAATCATAATCTCATAGGCTAGACTTCTAGGGTTTAGCCATTACAATCTCGTGGTAGATCAACTCTTGTAGTACTCATATTCATCAAGATCAATCAAGCAGGAAGTAGGGTATTACCTCCACATAGAGGGCCCGAACCTGGGTAAACATTGATTCCCCCGCCTCATGTTGCCATTAACCTTAGACGCACAGTTCGGGACCCCTTACCCGAGATCCGCCGGTTTTGACATCAACAGTCAGGCCACGTCTGATAGATCGGTTGGTGCCAACCATATGCTGGCCACAAGATGCAAGCATGGCCCTCTTCTAGGCCGCAGTTGGTGTCGACCATATGCTGGCCACAGGATGCAAGCATGGCCCTCTTCTAGGCCGCAGAATGCAAAATGTTCTTCTATTTGGTTATCCCTAGTGTGATTTGTGTTTATGCAAAATATCAAAACAGGACCCAATAAGATGGACCGCAAGTGAGGAGAGTCCTACCAGGGGTGTTATGCAAAATATTCTCCGGTTGTCCCCGGTGGGACCCTTGTCGACGTGGCAATGGTCAATGCGCCACATGAGTGGGTCAAACATTGTTTGGGCTGCTTGGGACCGGAGGTGAACCACTTGCAAACGTTTGGGACCCAAACATACAATTTTGAAGTTTTGAGACTAACTTGACATACGTCGAATAGTTTAGGACCTTTGGTGCAGTTTCTCTTTGTTTTATACTACTCCCTCGTACTAAAGCAACGTCAACTAATATGAATTGGAGGGAGTACCAAATTAGCATTCGGTGCATTCCAAAACATCACCTCAAGCTGTCCCACGTGTTGTAGGTACTCACTTGTTATGTGGTTTATGCTACACCGAACGAAGTTCCAACGGTTATTCAAGACGATGCATGCTGTTGGAGTGAGTGACCAAGGAGGTTTTTACCCAACATCGGTGGCAGCATAATCTTCGGATCGGTCCACCACTTCATTTGACATAGGCATAGTGTCGGTCCGATATGACTAATGTTGTCACCATGTCGGTTTTTTATTTATCTTTTGTCACAACGTTCGTGTTTGGCTGTGTGCATCTTGTTATGCGGACTCTGGGTGTTACTCATCATGCTTTGTATCCGTTTGATGCTATATTCTGAGTTAATAAAAATGTCATTTATCCATAAACATGTTCTACATGAACTTTGCTGCGGAGAGCAATACATGCCTGTAGTAATATGCCAAGCTTCGTAGAGGAGCATCATTGCCCTGTTTGGGCTGTCTAAAATTATATAGCAGCATTCTTCTACTGGTGCTGTTCATTTAGTTCCACATATAAAGAGGAGACTGCACTGCAATTAACAATGGAACGAATTAACACACGTTTAATCATATCATGTTTGTCTAACACACAGAGAAATTAATACGGTGACATAATTCAAACCGCAAGACAATAAGGTAGCAAAGTTAAGAAAGAAATAAGTAGTAGATCAGTATACAATCTAAAATGAGCAAAGCCCAGCCAATGACTAGCTACAAAGTCTAGGATTAAAACATTCCAGCATACTAACTATGAAACCTAGAACTACGCCACGCGCATGTCAACTTTTTTTAGGATAAATTCTGACAACTTCTCATGGTTCTTCCTCCCCAAGTTTCCGTCCAGTGTTCAAGTCCTGCATACAAAGAGTATATTAGATCTGGAAGAGGAAAAAAATGGTGTCATACTTATTTACATAAACGATGACAAATGATTTTCTCTGTGTGGGCACGCAGCAGGTGCTTGTCAAAAGTAATCGTTGTGCGTGCACTATTTAGACTTCAGGTTAAGTTAAAGCGTACATTTGCAAACTTGCACATTTTTGTTGTTTTGAGATAGCTTACCACATGTATCATACTAGCATGGATGCCTTTTATCTATACTTCCATATACAACACTCGTATTGAATACAGGACGATTTGGTCTTAAACTAGTATCAATTGACATACAACGGTCTTTCTTATGAGAATTTGAGAAAGGGCACCCATACATTACCTCATCGTACTATTGGCCCTTTGCGACAAGCATAACCAACCCAGCAGTTCGTACTTCGTTCTAACAAATGTATGAAATGGAAAGGTTATAAATCAGTCAAACCAAAAAACATACTTATTAGATACTGCCTCCGTCCCAAATTACTTGTGGCCCAAATGGATTTATGTGAGCGAGCGACAAGTAATTCGAGGCGGAGCGAGTATAAAACATGTTGCAATAAAGTTCAAGGATTTTACCAGGTCTTCGTCTCCACCAAGCCACTCTATTAAGAACTCCCTTATATGTGTGACAGGAACAGCGTATACCGATGCATGTGAAGCTCCGGCAAGCACCCCAACTACCCTGTCTATCCGTGGCAAAATAAGAGGTGAACCTGATGCACCTTGCTTAGATGTACAACTGCAGGTAAGCGACACTTCATCTGGTTCATTGCTGCAATAAATAAATATTCTAATGATTAGCACGAGTAGAGACAAAAGGAATTTTCATGCTACATTATACTACTAGTACCATGTTCTAGTAAGTAAGAGATACTAAGTATCGGAAGAGTGCATTACGTTATTTGACCAGAATACGTCCCTGGCTCTAGAATAGTAGCAGAAGAACCATCCAATGTGGTATAAGCCAGCGCAACAACATTCCACCCAGAAGCATATGGTGGGTCGAAGAACCTCAGACAAGTCACTGGTTCATAGACATCTTGAGCCCGCAGCCAAGCAAGATCCCGACCCTCATCAGTACGAATTATTCTTGCATTGTATCGGCGTGGGATCAATCCGTCGGAGTTGAAGAAATAAACAGCCATTGTTCCACCCACGGGAAGCATCTTGACGACATGTTGACATGATACTATGTCACAGATGGTTTTATTGTTGCTGACAATAAAGTCATTGCCTTGAAAAACATTGTCAGTAGCGGTATGGAGACGCACCACAGAGAGTTGATGGTCTCTAAACACCCGCTCGCACCATAAACCTTCATCCATGACATCGGACATGTTTAGATGTCAACCTGTAAAAAAAATTGTTCCAATGAACAATACGTACATGTTAAACACACATGATGTATGCATAAATCTATTACTTCCTCCGTTTTTAAATATAAGACTTTTTGGATATTGCATTATGGACTACATACGGATGTATATAGACATATCTTAAAATATAGATTCACGCATTTTGCTCCGTATGCATAGTGGAACCTTTAAAAAATCTTATATTTAGGAACGGTCTCCGAATCTGTTCATGAAGTAATGCAAGTGTGATTGTATGCATCTACTGGCTTTTAAGTTTTAAGTGATAAGCCAGAGCACATTAGCTAGCTAGCTAGCTGCGGATGTTGCTCCATGCGAGAGCGAGCCAGATCTGCACGGCACATGTGAGCAAATAAATCTGCAGCGCTGGCGGCATACCTACATACGTGCGGCTGACGAGCAACGCCCCTACCTGCAGTTGAGCGGTCGTCAATGAACCGCCGGCCGGCCGCTGGCTATCGATCTACTACGCCGTGACTAGCAGGTACCAGATCGGTACAGACATTGGCTAGGTACAAGGAATCCAAGGCAAGGACTTACCGGACGTGTGCCGTTGGCAGCAGAGTAGCCGGGCGGGGATTGATGCAGGCGCACACACGAAGCCCGCCGGCCGGCCGGAGCAGTTGACTCGTTGAGCTAGCTTGTTGTGAGATCCAGGAAGGAGCACCAGCATTATTGAGTGGGGATGGGAGGCTGGCTAGATATTTCCCAAGTGGTGGTACGGCGGAGGAGTGGGTGGAGCGCCGCCGTCTAAGGAAACGCGGTACTGTAGCTGCTAAAGTGCCCTGCCTCATTTGCCGTTTGGGGAAGAAGGGGCTGACAGTAGGCCCCCCTTCCTTCCAACATATTACAAGCTTTTTATTTTCTTTTTCCTATTATTAGAGAGAATAGATGAGCTCGCGTGCGTTGTGCCCGCAAAATAAGGCATTTTTGTTTTGATATTTGCTAATGAGTGTACATTCTTTTCTTTAGGGACAGCTAATGCTTATGATGTTTTGGTCCTAAGAGCATCTATATACGGCGTCCCAAACCCGCCTCAAACGCTCGGACGGACGGCTTGGCCAATGATCGGTCATAAAAAGCGACTCAGACGGGCTTCTCAAACTGGCCTCAAACGTCTGAATTAACCGGCACCCCTCATATACAGCTCAAATCTGGAGCGGATATGGGGGCACCCAGGCGCCCCCGGACGCGTCCGTCACGTCGGACTCGACATCGCTACCCCACCATAAATAGCACCAAATCCACCCCGTCGACCTACCAGATTCGTTTGATCTCTCCTCTCTTCTTCCTCCTCCGTGACGGACATCTCGCAGCTCCGCCACCACCCTTGCTCCGCAGTCGCTCCGAGCCTCTGTGCCTCCAGCACTGACACAACAGTCGTCTCTCTCGTCCTCGCCACTGGGGACGTCGTCGCCGGCCCGAACACCACCGCAGTACATCCGGCAACTCTCATGTTGCCCCTTGCGGTCTGTGTAGACACGTTATTCGACCCGATTTTTTGTGATTTATTTGAAGGGAAAATGATGAATTATGATGTTTCATCGGAGGAGTATGGACCGACAGAGCTTGATGATTCAAGACGAGTTCTTCGATTGGTCGGATTCGGACAAAGAAGGGGACATGATCATGCTCATGAGAATGGAAGAGGATATGGACCGGCAGGTGTAGCATATTCTCGACTTCAAGGGCTCAATTAAAGGGAGAAGAGTTGTCAATTAGGATATGGTGTGTAGAGCATGGCTACCGATCAAGGATTACTTTGCTCCGAATCCAATTTTCCTAGATAATCCATGGTTTTCACATGCGGAAACCATTGTTTTGTGCATTATCGAGGGAGTGGAGGCACACGATGACTACTTGAAGCACGCAAGGGATTGTTGTGGCCAACTTTCTTTCTATGCTAAGCAGAAATGCATGGCTGCTTTGAGGATGCTCGCACTTGGTACTGTCGCAGATGTCGTTGGTGAGATGGTCCGGATTAGAAAGAGCACATGCCTGAAGACTACTGTCAAGTTTGCCCACAGATGGAGGAGAGCTGCAATAATGTGGGAATCAGAAACATTGTGGCAGTTGATGACATGTTATGTTATTTTGCACAATATGATTGTCGAGCATGAGGGTGATGGTGTTGCCCGAACCAGGATTTTGAAGCGCCCGGAGAAAAAGTTCAAATCCCGGAAGATCAAGATGCAAATCAGCTTATAAACTTTCTGCAGATGGATCAGAATTTCCGAGATCGTCGGTGCATGCGCTCATACTCAATGATCTTATGGAGCATATGTGGACGCATAATGAAAACCAAAGAGCTTAATAAAAGTTTATGTAATAAATATGTATTTTTTTTATACTAACATTTGTTATCTACGTGTGATATTGGTGTGTATGATAGATGTGCATGGAATTGCATGGATTTAAGAATCCGGATTTGAGATATGTGAATGTCGGACACTAGATATGAGGGGTCGTCCGGATGCGTCCACCGGCATGCCCGGACGCATCCGCGGACATAAAGGGTGACGGATTTGCCAAGTCCGGCGGTAGATGCTCTGAGAGTGTCAAAGTAAAATGATTTTTGTTTTTTGTGTTTTCTGCTTTTTGTAGATTTTTTTGTCCGACTAGGTTTATCGATTGATCCACAAGCTCTACAAAATTGACGCACGAGTTAGTACTGTTCGAGGCATGGGTTAGTACATTTTTTAAGCACAAATTTCATTTAAAAAATTCATGGAAACCTATCAATATGAAGTCTAGTTTTAAAAATCTTGACGCAAGGAACGCATTTGTGAAACAGTTCATTATTTGAACGCATGGTTCGAGAGATAAGTTGTTTTTAAAATTGAATCTAACAAAAAAACAAAAATAAACCTGCTCACCTCTCCTCACATTGGAAGAAATCCATAAAATCTCTCTAATTGCGACAGATGGCTCACGAGATAATTGCATCTATACTCCTCGTAGTCGCTGGCAACGTCCAACTTGGTCTTGGAGGTTGCAAAGTGCTCCAATACAGTCCCGGTACATGAAAATACGTGATCAATACGGTTCCTGAGGTTGAAACGTCAGTCCTGGATCTACACGCCACCGTCCACACCAAACAAATATGGGGTCATTTGTATCGTTCTTTCTTCCTAGCGAAGAAAGAGGCGATCTCGCCTGCGCCGCTACCATGGAGTTCCTCCACGACCGTCCTCCGGCGGCTCCCCTCTGCTGACGACCTCGGTCGTCGAGGTCGTCGGTGGTGAGGGGGGTCGCCGGATCCATGATTGTGGATCGTTTTAGGTCAAAGTAGCTTAGTTTTTTAGGCTGTTCATCGTCTTGGCTTCGGTGGCGGCAATGGAGGCGCTGGATAAAATTTCTTCAGATCATACTCCAATGAGGCGATTGGTCCTATGGTTGGCGATGGATCTGAAATCTAATCTGTTCAAGTAAGGATGGTGTGGCGGCGGCATCCTTGTGGTGGACCTGCGTCCTCGGGCTCTGCCGTTGCGACGGCGTCCTCTCCATCGTCGTCGCGGAGCTTGGGAGGTAGTCTAGAAGCGGATGCAGATTGTGGTATGCATCGACGGTATCTGAAAGATGGTGGATCGTCTACTGGGTTCGTGGTACGTGCATGACAGGTATGGTTTCCTCCTCCGACATCTTAGTCATGTGGGGGTGCTAGATCTGGAGTTTGATGGCGCGCCCGGGTGTTGCCTAGTCTGATTCGTTCAACGGTAATGGTTTCGACTTTGGCGCGCCACCTTGGAGGTCCGCAAAGCTGTTTATCAGCGATGGAGCCGCATCGAGCTCGGGTGTGGAGGTGATCCGTCATTAATCCCTTTGGTGGCTGCTGTGGTGGTGCCAGAGGCAGGTGACGGACATTGGTGTCAAGCTTAGAGGTTTCTTTGGTCTTGTTTGTAATTTTACTTTTTCGCTGTTGTTTCTTTGTGTAAAGGCTAGCGTTCTGCTATTTGTTCAGTTTTTCCAGGTTGGTACGTACGTGGCTTGTACTATGATCATTATGTTATAAATAAGACACGTATTACCATGCAAAAAAAATCTACACGTTGTATACGTATTCTTCCTTATGACACATCAGCACGAGGCCACGTCTGCTGGGACCCATATGTCAATGGGGGTGAGAAATAATAAAAAGAAAAATGTGGGTTGGCAGGTTTCGATCCCGCGCGCAGGACGCCACACAAAGCCCTTCTTTTGTCGTCATGTATCCGACTCCAACGTCGACATGTGCCAACTTCTAGCATGTGTTGTTTCTGTGGGAGGACGGAAGGAATCGAGCACTCGCTGTTGTTTTGCCCTTTTGCTTATGAGATCTGGTCGCAAGTGAAGCAATCCTTCGACATCAAGCTATGGTGGTTCAACTTCTCTTTGCCAAAGCAGTGGCTGTTTGATTTCCTCTCTCGTTCCTCGGATCAGCAGGCTACGGTCATGGCTGTTACTATATGTCATATTTGGGAGGCGCGGAACTTTGTTCGGAACAATGAAGATGAGCCACATCTTGTCCGTACCGTTTTTAAGATAAAAGCTTATGTTGATTTGATCTCCCGGCATCTATACAAACCGGGTTGATTTGATCTCCCGGCATCTATACAAACCGGATCTTGTGCATAGGCGTGAGAGCATTGCCTCAAGTACCTCTTGGTCTCCGCCGCCGCCGGGTTCTGTATTATTCATGTGTGATGCCGCGATCTTCTCTGAGCTAAGTAAGTTTGGTGCAGGTGTGGTTGCTCTCAACTCTGATGGACAATTTGTTATTGCATGTAGAGAAGCCAATTATGGAAGCCTTGAACCTGAATTAGCTGAGGCATGTGGCCTTCATCGAGCAGTTAACCTTGCACGTGAGATGGGACGTGATTCGGTGATATTCGCCTCCGACTGCCTCTCTTTGGTGCAGAGAATCAATTCCCATGTTTGCGATCGCTCACTCGTTGGTGCTGTGGTCTTGGAGATCAAAGATGGCA